CGGTCAGTTCTCCTCTGTGGATGTGAATGCTGGGCTGTGCGCGCTGAAGATGCGCGAAGACTGTAGGTCTTTGGCCACCGGTGCCTGAGGACGATCCTGCGCCTTAAGTATAGCGATTTAACCTCGAATGAGACATTCTGCACCCGCTGCGATCATATCACGAAAATATCCCAGGCCATTCAAGAAAGGCGACTGAGGTGATTTGGACACGTTCTTCATCGTCCGCCCCACGAGCTTAGATATGCTGCCCTCGATCCGGCGCCGCAGCCCACCTGGAAACGTCGAAAAGGAAGGCAACTGAAGACTTGGCTCGACACCGTTCTTGGACCTTCTAACTCTGGTCTCCGTTGCTGGAGAAGAGACTGAGTTGAGCTTTCCAGATCCGCTGCCGCCGATAGCTATGCATGGAGAGGTACCGTTCGTGACATCACTGAGGTCGGCTGGATCAGGCATGATCACAGCCGTAACAAGTACCAGTAGAAGTTAAGCTCTTTCGTATGTTATTGTATAGGTAATTTTTGTCGCTATCAAGCTATCTCTGATTTCGCCAAAATCAACGCCTATTACCCTAAATATACTGAACGATATGGGCAGGTTTCCTTACGAGGAGGCTCCGACAGAATGAAATCCACCACTTAGATCAAAACAACGCAACCCAGTATATTTGCTAAACTACCCTAGTCCAATTTCCTCATGACGTTTACAGGACTTCCTTGCCGAACTGTATGTGCTGGTATGGCAGCGACATCTTTTTTGCCTCAATCCACGTCTGCTGTTGATTCGGTTGGTGGTCTCCGGTTGGAATCCAAAAATTAGGGCGTATAAAACGCTCGGTAATAAGGTCACATTCATCCCTATCTGGGAACTCATATATCTCACTTGTACTGATGACACATGACTTGTGGCAAAACAGGGCGATCTGGCAAACCAGCCTATCAGAATTGAACACGTTCTGTTCGGTCCATTTTCATAGGCGTGTATAAGTCCAATCAGGACGGAGTGGTTTGACTGATATAAGTTTTATATCATCGTCCACACGGAAACTATCAGGAATTGTGCGTTAAGGGTCGTTATGCCAACCGAGTAAGTCAATGTTTTCTTCGGTTATCTTCGTTTTATAGTCGGGAAATAGAAGAACTAATGAAAGATCTGGATGCTGATAATTCGGGCAAAGTGAGCTCCAAAGAGCTGCTAGCAGCTCTTCAAGGATCCGGCATTGACATGGATTCTGTCAAAGATTTTATTGCTGCGCAAGACAAAGACCACGATGGCCAGCTAGATAAAGCTGAACTAAAAGCCTTTTTCCAATCACTTGGATGCTAAACGTGATGTGAAGACAGGAATATTAAATAATTAATCGTATTTTTTTGAAATTTTATATACCTTTGCAATAATATGAGAATTATGTTGAGTTACTTTATCTTCTGGAATTTCGAACGTTGTAATTACATACATTTAAACGAGCACTGTGATGCAGACGATGACATAATTTGATCACTAACTGTGATGTTACGTTGTTGGAAAATCGTCCTGACATAGGTGAATATTGCAGGGTCAAAAACGTTATAATAAGGAAAGGGAACATGGAGCATGGCGGTTTAATAAGTGTAGTAAACCACATTTACTAATCGTGTGTGAACAGCAGCTTTCTATACGCTAAAATAAGCAAAGTTAGGTTATTGGTTACTGTTAAGTTTCTGTAAACATTTAAAATATTAGGGGGAAGGTGCCTTGGGATACGGTAGGGTGATATTTAGGTTTCAGGCTACGGTTTGAGCAATAGTTAGATTTTAGCTTAGAGCTACGATTAGGGTTTAAGGTTAGTGTTATTGAGAGGTCGAAGACGACTCGGTCGCTGGGACAATATGTTTATTCGCCTGACGTTTCGAAATCCGTCGCGGATTTATGATCAAGGATATACTCACAGAACAATAGCAGAAACAGTTTGTGTGTGCACAGGGTTTTGCCCTAAAATTAAAGGTAACGAAAAAATCGATAAATGCCATGACTGTGCTCTGATTTGTTGCGTCAGCAATGAACATCTGGCCTTGCGGTGTTGGCATAAGATGATGTGGTGGCCTGTCTGTTCCC